AAGAAGATTACAAATTCTTGAGGCAATTCACATAAGAATAGAGCGACCTACCATGAACACCCAAATCACGGAACTATTTACTCTACCCACCATGAGAGTAAGGACAAGACAAGAACATATCGATGCCAACACAGAAGACAATGTCCAACATAACAGGCCAATTACACTGGATTAATCTTTGTGTTTAGATAGGAGATGCCTCGTATGGGCCAATAAGCCTTCTGCAGCCCCTATGTTTATCCCTTATGTATCCCCCCATGTTTTCACCTTCATTGTATTATCACCTGACCTAATGCGGGTATAAAATCAACTAGTATTGTAAGATCTGTTCACTTGAGAATGAACCATGGAGGTTCGAAACGTCGTGCAAATTATACAAATAAGTGTAATACACTCTATAGTAAATCACTTCTTTTCTTCACCTTAAAAGTACGAAAATGAGTTTTGGAGAACTCCTATTTCAATTAAGCCCTGATGCTAAGAAAATAGTTAGAGGGATAGAAGCCCTAAACCAGAAAATAATAAATACAGAATATGCGGTCATATTCAATGAAACATAAATATATATACATATATATATATACATATATATATATATATACATATATGTATATATATATATATATATATATATATATATATATATATATATATATATATATATTAGTATATTTTGGTAGCAGTCTTTCCTGTAGACATATATTATTAAATATGACCGAAAAAGTAAGATTAATAATTCTAGCACGAATTTTCTCAATCTTTCGTACATTTCGCTTCACTGTTGGAGGTAAATCAAAAATCAATTCTCCAAAATTCATTTTTATTTCTAGTCTGACGCGACACGAGCGCGTTTCGTAAAACTTATTACATTTTCATAGACTTTAGTTCACAAATACACAACTCAATAGAACTTACGCATCTCCGATTTTATATCTACATTTGAGTGAGGTGGAAGGGGTGATGTGGCATTAACACAAGACAGAACAAGATGTGGTATTAATAGGGTATTAATTTCATCAACACAAGACAGAACAAGAGTATTAATAGGGTATTAATTTCATCAACACAAGACAGAACACGAAACAATGGATATTGAATTAGAAGTGTTTGTAGAAAGCCTATTGGTCCATATTTCTTGATGCTTCTATATTGGAGCGGAGTCTTGAGGTGGGTAGAATATAGTTGTGCAATAATTGGCTGTTGATTGCTGGTGTTGACTTCTTGATGTGTAGTGCCTCGCAAACGTCAAGCCGCCTGCTATCGCTGTATCTATCGATGATTTCTGTGTTGTTTACTAGGATTTCTCTGGCGATGGTTTGGTTGTGGGAAGAGATTATATGTTCCTTAATGGAGCCCTGTTGCTTATGCATCGTTAAACGCCTAGAAAGAGATGTTGTTGTCTTGCCTATATACTGGGTTTTTTGGAGCTTACAGTCCCCAAGAGGGCATTTGAAGGCATAGACGACGTTAGTCTCTTTTAATGCGTTCTGTTTTGTGTCTGGAGAGTTTCTCATGAGTAGGCTGGCCGTTTTTCTGGTTTTATAGTAAATCGTCAGTTGTATCCTCTGATTTTTGTCTGTAGGGATAACGTTTCTATTAACAATATCTTTCAGGACCCTTTCCTCCGTTTTATGAGCTGTGGAAAAGAAGTTCCTGTAAAATAGTCTAATAGGGGGTATAGGTGTTGTGTTAGTTGTCTCTTCAGAGGTTGCATGGCTTTTCACTTTCCTTCTTATGATGTCTTCGACGAAACCATTGGAGAAGCCGTTATTGACTAGGACCTGCCTTACCCTACAGAGTTCTTCGTCGACTTGCTTCCATTCTGAGCTGTGGCTGAGAGCACGGTCGACATATGCGTTAACAACACTCCTCTTGTACCTGTCTGGGCAGTCGCTGTTGGCATTTAGGCACATTCCTATGTTTGTTTCCTTAGTGTAGACTGCAGTGTGGAAACCTCCGCCCTTTTCCATGACTGTTACATCTAGAAAGGGCAGCTTCCCATCCTTTTCCATCTCGTAAGTGAAACGCAGCACGGAACTCTGCTCAAATGCCTCCTTCAGCTCCTGCAGATGTCTGACATCAGGTACCTGTGTAAAAATGTCGTCAACATACCTGCATTATATGGCCGGTTTCAAGTTCATGTCGACTAAGACTTTTTGCTCGATGGTACCCATGTAGAAGTTTGCAAACAGGACACCTAGGGGAGAACCCATGGCGACCCCATCTACTTGCTTATACATGTGCCCATCCGGGCTCAAGAAGGGTGCCTCTTTAGTACAAGCTTGGAGTAGTTTCCTCAGAATATTTTCTGGTATGTCAAGAGGAGTACAGGCTGGATCACGATACACTCTGTCGGCTATCATTCCGATTGTCTCGTCCACAGGTACGTTGGTAAACAGCGATTCTACGTCCAACGAGGCTCTTATCCCTGTGGCCCGTGTGCCCCGCAGTAAGTCAACAAATTCCTTTGGAGACTTCAGGCTGAAGGCGCAAGGAACATAAGGAGTCAGCAGGCCGTTGAGTCGCTTCGCCAGTCTGTACGAGGGTAACGAAGGACACTACAGCCGAATTAAAAGCAAAGGTCAACAAACTGATCGAAACTGTGAACGCCAAGAAATCCGGACTCCACCTGCCAAAGATCATTGGGGAATATAAACCTGGATATGCGTATGGAAATGTCAAGACGCACAAGCCTGGAAACCCACTTCGGCCAATCATTAGCCAGATTCCCACACCCACGTACAGACTGGCGAAGCGACTCAACGGCCTGCTGACTCCTTATGTTCCTTGCGCCTTCAGCCTGAAGTCTCCAAAGGAATTTGTTGACTTACTGCGGGGCACACGGGCCACAGGGATAAGAGCCTCGTTGGACGTAGAATCGCTGTTTACCAACGTACCTGTGGACGAGACAATCGGAATGATAGCCGACAGAGTGTATCGTGATCCAGCCTGTACTCCTATTGTCATACCAGAAAATATTCTGAGGAAACTACTCCAAGCTTGTACTAAAGAGGCACCCTTCTTGAGCCCGGATGGGCACATGTATAAGCAAGTAGATGGGATCGCCATGGGTTCTCCCCTAGGTGTCCTGTTTGCAAACTTCTACATGGGTACCATCGAGCAAAAAGTCTTAGTCGACATGAACTTGAAACCGGCCATATACTGCAGGTATGTTGACGACATTTTTACACAGGTACCTGATGTCAGACATCTGCAGGAGCTGAAGGAGGCATTTGAGCAGAGTTCCGTGCTGCGTTTCACTTACGAGACGGAAAAGGATGGGAAGCTGCCCTTTCTAGATGTAACAGTCATGGAAAAGGGCGGAGGTTTCCACACTGCAGTCTACACTAAGGAAACAAACATAGGAATGTGCCTAAATGCCAACAGCGACTGCCCTGACAGGTACAAGAGGAGTGTTGTTAACGCATATGTCGACCGTGCTCTCAGCCACAGCTCAGAATGGAAGCAAGTCGACGAAGAACTCTGTAGGGTAAGGCAGGTCCTAGTCAATAACGGCTTCTCCAATGGTTTCATCGAAGACATCATAAGAAGGAAAGTGAAAAGCCATGCAACCTCTGAAGAGACAACTAACACAACACCCATACCCCCTATTAGACTATTTTACAGGAACTTCTTTTCCACAGCTCATAAAACGGAGGAAAGGGTCCTGAAAGATATTGTTAATAGAAACGTTATCCCTACAGACAAAAATCAGAGGATACAACTGACGATTTACTATAAAACCAGAAAAACGGCCAGCCTACTCATGAGAAACTCTCCAGACACAAAACAGAACGCTTTAAAAGAGACTAACGTCGTCTATGCCTTCAAATGCCCACTTGGGGACTGTAAGCTCCAAAAAACCCAGTATATAGGCAAGACAACAACATCTCTTTCTAGGCGTTTAACGATGCATAAGCAACAGGGCTCCATTAAGGAACATATAATCTCTTCCCACAACCAAACCATCGCCAGAGAAATCCTAGTAAACAACACAGAAATCATCGATAGATACAGCGATAGCAGGCGGCTTGACGTTTGCGAGGCACTACACATCAAGAAGTCAACACCAGCAATCAACAGCCAATTATTGCACAACTATATTCTACCCACCTCAAGACTCCGCTCCAATATAGAAGCATCAAGAAGTATGGACCAATAGGCTTTCTACAAACACTTCTATTCAATACCCATTGTTTGTGTTCTGTCTTGTGTTGATACTTTTAATACCCTATTAATATCCCCTCTTGTTCTGTCTTGTGTTAATGCCACATCACCCCTCCCACCTCACTCAAATGTAGATATAAAATCAGAGATACGTAAGTTCTAATCAGTTGTGTATTTGTGAAGTCTTTGAAAATGTAATAAGTTTTACGAAACGCGCCCGTGTCGCGTCAGACTAGAAATAAAAATGAATTTTGGAGAAGTGATTTTTGATTTACCTCCAACAGTGAAGCGTAATGTACGTAAGATTGAGAAAATTCGTGTTAGAATTATTAATCTTACTTTTTCGGTCATATTTAATAATATATATATATATATATATATATATATATATATATATATATATATATATATATATATATATATATATATATATATATATATATATACATATACATATATATATATATATATATATATATATATATATATATATATATATATATATATATATATATATATATATATATATATATATATATATATATATATATATATATATATATATATATATATATATATATATATATATATATATATATATATATATATATATATATATATATATATATATATATATATATATATATATATATATATATATATATATATCAGTTATGAGGATTTTCAATGCATAAATTACGTAGTCACCTTCAGGTCAAATATTTAAGATACAGGTTAACTGTTTATATTCAATAATAATGTTATTATTAAGTCCTCCCCAGCACATACGATCACAGAACTGATGTATAACTCCTCATCTTCCCCTTCTTCAGCCCCCGAGCCCGACTCTCCAGCCGGAGATGGTCAGCAAGGCTGACTACGACCAGCAGGTGAAGGAGAAGAAACACTTCCAGATCGCCACCGGTGTCCTGGGAGGGCTGGCTGCCTGCGCGCTCTGCATCTTTGCTGTCCTCTTGTTTAGGAAGAGAAACGTGAAAGATGATGTACGGTGTTGACGACGGTGTTCCTTGTCATGCAGCTGTTGATGTGTCGACGACGGTGTTCCTTCCCTTGCAGCTGTTAATGTGTTGACGGCGGTGTTCCTTGTCATGTAGCAGTTGATGTGTTGACTTCATTGTTCCTTCACCTGCAGCTGTTGATGTGTTGACGACGGGGTTTCTTGTCATGCAGCAGTTGATGTGTTGACAGGGTAGTTCTTTCACATGCAGTCACCTCTCAACAGCTAGTTTATGTTTGATAGAGTGAGCTGCAGTGAAGCTGTGTCTGGGATATTAACTTTGTGAACTATGTAAATTAGAAAGCAGACCCGCCACACATATTGTGTTAGAGAGTCTGGATGTAAATAATGAATCGATTGAATTATATTCTCACTTGATGTATAATACTGATGACTTATACTTAATAACTTTAAGTAGCCGGAGCTTCAAATTAAATGTGAGTGTCATCAACCTTATCATGTGTTTAGAGATTAATGCACCCATGGTATCTTTGAGACGGGCGATCCTCCATAGATATAAAGATTTAATTGCATATGTATCTGCAACATATTTAACATGTTTAGTAGAGCACATATTTCTAGTAATTTCCACATCTAATATGTTATTTGATTGATTATATATAAATATTTGTTGGTAACTTTATTATAAGTTGATATATATTGGTACTTAGTGATATAACCATCAATGAATTTGGTTATGGGAAGCAGTGGCTAACCAACGTTGATTGTAAGCGCAAGATTGGAAATATATAGAAGATAACGAGACTAAACACGTACTCAACAGTCACAACAGCAGCAACACGGTTCTGTTGCTGCTGTTGTACTCTTTGTGCTGGATAGCACATTAGCTATTTTGTGCTAATGTACTATCCAGTCTCTTTTTATAAAGCCTCTTGCAGCTTTCTGATCATTTCTACTCCCCTCACAGTAGTTTAGACATTGCTATTACCATCTCGTCCAATCTTTTAAGATAGTCATTAGGATATTTTTGGACATTTTATTTATTTTTATTTATATTTAAATCTATTAACATAATGGCAGCTCTGTGGCCCCTTCTAGATACTGGCGTAGCAGGGTCATGCGATTAACTTGACCAACCCGGGGTAAATAGTTGCTTGCCCAAATCTTATAGGTCACGATATCACAGCTAAATCACGAGATCGACTTCTGTTCGCTAGGATATCAGAAATAAAGTGCTAGATCCAGTCAGAAGAAATCAGAAATTCTTTCCGTGATTTCACAGAATGAATCTTTTTATTCACAGTATCAGAAATCAGAAAGAGGCTTTACTTGCGTGTGTGTTAACCGGTGCCTCGCTGCAACATTTAGAACATGGCAACAGTAAGGGCCGCCTCTTGTGGTCCTCCACTTTCTTGACGCAGGAGAAGGCAACAGACAAGGTGTAGATGGGTACTGAATATTGGTAAAGAGTTGAACTGATGTGTCAAAAGACGCAAAAGAAGTGTCAAGCTCCCAGTTGTGAACGAAGTTGGTGTTCAAAACACAAGTACTTCTTCGGGCGGAAGGAACCAAGAAGTGTACTCTCTTCTTAAATCTAAAAAGTTGCGCAATAAGATCCATTTGGAACATATCGAGGAATTGACTTCTACCATCTTAAGAGCAATGGCAGACATTACACTCATGTTGGTGCCTGGTGGCTGTGTTGGTGCCTGGCGGCTGTGTTGGTGCCTGGCGGCTGTGTTGGTGCCTGGCGGCTGTGTTGGTGCCTGGCGGCTGTGTTGGTGCCTGGCGGCTGTGTTGGTGCCTGGCGGCTGTGTTGGTGCCTGGCGGCTGTGTTGGTGCCTGGCGGCTGTGTTGGTGCCTGGCGGCTGTGTTGGTGCCTGGCGGCTGTGTTGGTGCCTGGCGGCTGTGTTGGTGCCTGGCGGCTGTGTTGGTGCCTGGCGGCTGTGTTGGTGCCTGGCGGCTGTGTTGGTGCCTGGCGGCTGTGTTGGTGCCTGGCGGCTGTGTTGGTGCCTGGCGGCTGTGTTGGTGCCTGGCGGCTGTGTTGGTGCCTGGCGGCTGTGTTGGTGCAAATATATGATGCGAGTCATTTATTAATTTATGTTTCCTTTATTGTGAGTGCCACTTACTAGTGATAATATTAACCTAGATAAGAATATTATTCTTTGCCCTGATACTTGGCTCATTGATGTGTTTTTCCTTGCGGGTTGATACACAGAATTCTTTGCTTCTTGTGCACAGGCCAGCTTACCAGAAGGTTTATATTTTTGTGTATTTATTCATTCTGTTTACTGTGCAACTGTGTATATGTTGTCATGTGTGACTATTAGTGTTGGCGATTATTAACAATGTGTTATTTTAGTGCAACACACCAGCAGCAAGGTATGTGTAATTATAGTGTGTATGTTGATTATATAGAACACACCAAGACTCTCGCCCTTGTTAATATTTACTCCTGCGGTATTTATTTTCCAGGACACATAACATTTGTTTGTTCCATTATTATACGTATTAAGTGTCCATCCTGTGTATTATTATCCTGGCCAAGCTGGAGTCTGGTGACGAGGAGCCTCGCAGCTGGTGACGAAGAGCCTCACTGTTGGAGACAAGGAGCCTTGCTGTTGGCGACGAGGAGCCTCACTGCTGGTGACGAGGAGCCTCGCTCCTGTTGATGAGGAGCCTCGCTGCTGGCGACGAGGAGTCACGCTGCTGGCGATGAGAAGCCTCGCTGCTGGTGACGAGGAGCCTCGCTCCTGTTGACGAGGAGCCTCACTGCTGGCGACGAAGAGTCACGCTGCTGGCGATGAGAAGCCTCGCTGCTGGCGACGAAAGTAGTGAATAACGAGACAAATCGTGAATTGATTTTCAGATTCGATTGGCCACTGCCATGCCGACTCGACTGCTGGGGGTGGATTCGTGCAAAAAGCGGTTGGGTTAGGGCACACTCGGCGCGCACCTGGATAGATGGTGGGGTGGGGTGGTGGTCCACGTCCCCCTGGGCTCCCAAACCCACCTCCCATGGGTGGACCTGAGAGACTCGTGAGACTATCCTAACCCTTTTTTTCACAAAGCTGCCCCGGGATGTAGCATGTGTAGGGGGCATAAGTAGGGGGGTCCCTTACTTATGTATGGTTCAGAGGACGAATGTTCAATAGATAAAAAAAAAAAAACACTGGTGAAAGGAATATAACAGTTATTTTGGAGTATTTTAATAGCGCTAGTATGTGAGTGTGTGTGTGTGTGTTTTTATGTAAATACAATATATCTGTTTCTAATTCTTACTGAGAAGTGTGTCTGAAATAAAGGGTTTCCCCCCTATATTTGGTAAGGTTTTAATAATCAGGTAAGAAATTAAATGAGAACAAAGACTCGAGTTATATTTTTGCTAGTTTCCCCAGATATATGTTCCATTTTCTTTAAATTTTGTTCTAGAGAAAACTTCTGGTCAGTGATAGCCTGAAGCAGCCCGTCCTCCAAAAATGGGGTGGTAAATGTAAGGAGACAAATAAGTGCAATTATGTACTATTCATAGCAGTTAGAAATTGTACTTATTTTCACTTAGTATTAAATCGTACTGTCAAATATATTGTGAATATTTGAGTTTACCTTAAAAACTGAATAGAAAACCACGACCTCACCTAACCGTCTTAGTTTTTGAAGATAATAATTTTATTGCTTCTTAATTACAATTAGTACTTAACCTATAGCTGTATTGATATTACAGTTTTATAAAACTAATAAAACAAAACTAAAATATATCAATAAATTGTAAAGTAACTAAGGATATTTTAAAATTTTGTATAAAATCTATATTGTTTAATAAACCTGAAAACGAAATTCCTGATATTTAAAACTTGTGTATTGCTAATTGAAATTGAAAACGTCATCCTAAAATTCTGAGTGTGTTAACAGAAAACGAGGAGAATTAAATCGGGGGAGGGAGTTGGGTAAATGTAACAGCCCCATAAGTACAATTATGCACTGGTTATGACAGTACGAAAGTGTACTTATTACACTTGGTATTAAATCGTACTGTCAATTCGGAGGATGGGTTGCCTGAAGCCATATTGGGTCTCCAGAAGAAAAATTCACCCAGCGTTGCGGGTGTCACATGACCTGACGTCATCAATAGGGGCCCCCTACCTACGAGTGACCCTGTGGGGTCAAGTAAACTTACAAAGAACAAGTTGGATATTTAGTTGTAGTAAGCCTTATCTTAAATTTACATGATACTGTGGGGGTACATTGACATGAAGGGCGAACTGTAGAACAGGGGCCAGATTCACGAAGGTACTTACGAAGGTTTTTCTTCTTGATGGCTACGTCGGTATTTAGGTAGCTACACTAAGTCGAAAAACCTTCGTAAAACCTTAGGTCAGGGATCTAAGTGTGGTGTCGACCACTCATAGCTTTACGTAAACTGGATAAACTCAATTTTTCTCTACTACATAACACTGGTATCGATTTTAAGATTTTGGAAAATAAACAAAAGATTATAGCAATTGAATCTCGTGAAGAGGAGTCCTTCGTGTAAGTTATATATGCCTTCTCTGCTTAAAACTTTGAGTAAATATGTCTTTTATGATATTAGAATTAGTTTTATAATAGCAAGATATTTTATCAGTAGTTATTAAGTAAATAAACACTGGTGAACATGAAATATGAGAGAAGGCGATGAGCCCTGCCTGATGGGATCATTTACTGTCACCAAATGCTCCTGTTCACCTAGTAGTAAGGGAGTACCTTAGCTATACATACCCATTTCAAATTTATTTAGTTTGGTTTTATTTTGAAATTAAATCTGGGTGAGATATAAAATAAAAATATGCTGCACAAATAATGTTAGGTAAGGAGAAGAGTAAAAATGTCAAAAACTTTATTCATTAAATACTTAAAGTTATTTTTATGACTATATGGACTATTAATTAAAAAAGAGAGAGGGAAGTAGGGGTCCAAGACCTCTTCCTGTTACACAACTTGGGTGTGGAACAAGTAATCATCAAAAGAAGGCACCATGCCGGGAAGGCTATGTAGCAGTAAGGCAGTGAGGTGAGGCAGCTACTTGTTTGAGAAATGCTTATTTTATTTACCTTATAAGCTGAGGCAGCTTATTTTATTTGAGGAATACTCAGCTGATTCCTCTACATTTAGTATGGAACAAATTTGTGTCCAAGACCTCTTCCTGTTACACAATTTGACTGTGTGTATCCAAACTAGAAGTGCTCTACAAATCAAGGGACCCAGAATGTGGAATAACCTCCCGAATAATGTCAAAGGCTGTACCTCTCTCAACCAGTTTAGGAGTAAAACCAAGTACTACCTAATTAACTCCTTGTAACCTACCTTACCCACTAAATGTCAACTCATGTCTTGCTATTTTTTAAACAATGCTGTTCACCAACGTGTACAATTGCTGATTTGTGCTATGTTACCCCCCTTTTTTTTTATTCCTTCTTTCAACACAATTTATACCTAATCCCCATTACTATTAAGTTTTAGTCTGTGTTTTTTCCCCACACCTTGCCCGAAATGCTATGAGTATTAGTAGCTTTAGGTATTGTATGTACTAGCTCTGTCTATAAATCCATCATCATGTTTGTAAATCAACTGTATGTACTTTTCCTGAATAACATTTATTTATTATTATTTATTTATTAATCAGTAAGTGTTAAAAGAAGGCACCAAGCTGGGAAGGCTATGTAGCACCATTGTGTGTAACAATAAACCAATTTTTTTTTTAACAAATAATGCACCTGTATGGTAAAACAAATCCTGTCAGCTGTAAAAATATTGATGCAGTTATTTAAATAAAAAATATAATGAAAGAAATATTACTGGTTCATTTTTATCCTATTTTCCTATCTTTTTGTACTGTACAGTATATCCAAGGAAATGAAAAATTGAGACATAATGCACAATTTAATGAATGATTAGCATGGATTAGCAGTTCAAAAGAAATATGACTATTACATATCAACATGAGATCTTAATGATCCATGGTTAACATGATTTAATAAGGATAATACAGTATTTGTAATAATACAAACTATAATTTAAATCTTTATTACTGATTTTTTTTATTAAGAAGATTAGGTATACACAGCAATGTGCTGCTACCCTATTCTATATGGAATATTACACAGTGTAGATAAAAAACTAGCTATAAGTTTATCTAATACTCCCATCTCAAAGGATGGTTAGACATAAATGGAATCAGTTTAGAAAATACCAGCCTCAATGCAAAAACAAATCAACTCTGACTAAACACCTCTTTGCAATTTTCACAAGAGGTAAGCACTGAATCATGGAAACATTATATTATAATTACTCTCACCAGTTTCTACAAGACTCCTCTCAAACAATGTATTTTTTAACATGTTTAGGTGTACACAGCAATGTGCTGCTTCCCTATTCTGTATGAAGGACCACACAGTGTAGATAAAAAACCAGCTACAAGCTCATCCAACATCCTCACCTCACAGGATGGCCAGTCATACATGTAATCAGGAGAGAACAAAATACTTAAAGCTGATCTATTAGCCTCCACTGGCAAAATCTGGGTGCAGCACAAGAATATCTTCCAATATTCCTGAGTGAATGAAGACTTAATCAAACTAGAAATGCTCTACAAATCAAGGGACCCAGAATATGGAATGACCTTCCCAACCATGTTAAAGACTGTACCTCTCTCAACCAGTTTAAGATAAAAACGAAGCACTACCTACTAAATTCCCTGTAACCTACCTTACCCCTCTATTGTCAACCCATGTCTGGTTTTTTTTTAAACAACTCTGTCGACCTAATTGTATTTGTGCTGCTTTTTCACCCATGTTCCCCCCTTTTTTATCTCTATTTTTATTTGTTCTCAACACATTTTATTCTTTATACTCAATTAGTATTAAGCTTTAGTCATTTATGTTTTTCATACCCGAAACGCTTTGCATAATAGTGGCTTTAGGCATTGTATGTACTAGCCCTATCTATAAATCCAACATTCTTTGTAAAATCTCTTGTATGTATGTACCTTACCTAAATAAACATTTATTTATTTATAAGTAATTGCAGAGCTCAAAGTACTTCGTACCATTTGGTATGAAGTCACTGATAACAGGGTAATTACAGATATAGTATTGGAGAGTATGTTCTCTCAAGTAGGACTGAAAACATATGTTTTTTCCACCAAGAGGGCTATAAACCCATGAAACCGCCTACCCGCTGAAGCCGTAAATGCCAAATTCCAGCTAAAAAATATCCTTAAGACAATTGGCGGGCCCTTTAACAAGCCGCCGGCTTTCTGTCCTCGTCGAGGCCACTAGACAGTTAGTGGTTGTCATGTTCACAGAAAATGGTACCATCCGTTTTCTATGTGCGGCGGCTGAGACGCCAGTAGAAAGAGGTAAACAAGAGAGCGTACAGGACGCTACCAGCTTGGAAGCTACTAGTCATGTATCAGTTTAAGTATTAAAGTCAATAACCAAGCAATGGCTTTATATCAACCCTACAACCAAGACTTCCTCAGT